AGGCGCGGGCCCCAGCACAGACCTTCACACAAAACTCCAAACATTGGCCATTCTCGGCATTAGAAAGAAAGCGGCTTCCGGCCTCTCCAGGAACGGTGGTGACTCTCCAGCACCATCTGAAAGCCACTGCTGGCCAGCACGGGGATGCCACGGACCTGCAGACTTGTGGGTGGGACTTGGGGGTGCCCCTCTCCTGGGTCTTCAGGGTCTGGCTGGTCTCCCCGCCCTGGGCCCCCTGACAGTTAGCCACCTGCGCAGCCCCCCACGTGCCAGCTGGCCTCTGTGTGGAGGCCCGCGCTGGCTTCCAAACGTGTGCTTTTGAGCCACACTTACTATTATTTTTTATTGATTTCTGGCTCCTGGTGGGATCAGGGCAAAACGCTCCCCAACTCCGGGTAGCCAACAGTTCTGTGTAGTAAACAGCCACCCCTGCTTCCCATTGACCTTGGGGTGCCCTTGAGCACGCGGCCCCACCCTCTGTCTTGCCAGTCTCGGAAGGTAATCGGGTGCCCGAGCAATAGCAAGAAGGTCAGGCCCCCTTGATGCACCTGGTGGGAAACTCTGTGACCAGCACTCAGGGGAGAAACGGGTAGGAAGCGTCTGTCTGCTTGTCTTTCAAGTTCAAGTACAAATCAGACACAGCAGGAAGCCAGTGCAATGAGAGGCAGGAAACAGAGCCTGGAGCTTGCCTGTGGCCGCTGCAAGCTGTGTGTGTATGCAAACACAGGTAGGTGTGTGTGCATGCGCGTGCCCGTGTGTAGGTGTGTGCATCATGTGCATGTGCATGTGTGCATTGTGCATGTGTGTGTATGTGTGTGTGTGCATGCATGCAGATCTTCCATCCTGTTGTGTTTTCATGGCAGTGGCTGGCACACTACAGTGTAGGGCTTGCACCTCCCCAGCCCCTGCAAACTCAATCCCAGACCTTGGAGGAAATCTCGCCACACCGAGCCTCCCAGCCTGGTACCCCAAGGCTGGGGAGCTGGCCTGACGGGAGCCACGTGGATGCTGCAACCCTTGGCCAGGCCACCCGCTCTCTCGGCCCCCAGTCTGAATGTCACTCCCCTTTGCATGCCCCCTCTGTCCTGAAGGCTAAGGCAGGCGTCGGGTGGCAGGCCTGCCCTGCAGAGAAGGCTGCCCCGACCTTAAGTGGCTGTCCCCATCTGTCCCTTAGCTCCTGAGCACATTGTTCCCTCTCCCTTTCAACTTCGATCTGACGCATGCACATAGCTTCTGGGTCTTGCATGCTCCCAGGCGGCCGCATGCAGCATCTGGCTGGTGGGACCTTTGACCCCCTGACCCCGCCACCTGTGCCAGGCTGGGGCTGCCTGCCAGCGATGCTTCCCACCCTGCCCCACACAGGCCTCCGTGGACAGGACAGCACAGGAAGCTGCTCTGAGCCTTCCTAGGAGAGGCCGGGGAGCTGCGGAGGTGGGGGGGAGGGGGTGGCCAGGGAGGGCTCGGGCACCAGGTCACTCTGCTCAGGAAGACCGGCTCTCCATGAGGCCCCGGCACAGTGCTGACCTGCCAGACAGGGATTCCTCCTTTTTCAAACGATTTCACAAACGAGCAGATGAAACAAAACTGCTCATTGGAAAGAAACGCTCTGGCTCCCCATGTGGCTTGTTGCGTCCCCCTGTCCTCTCCTGTGCTGGACACCACTCCCTGGGGTCTGGGTGGCTCTCCCGGAGCTCCGCATCGCCAGCCCTGCGGCGTGAGCCAGGCCCTCTGCAGATGTGCGCAGCTCCCCTCCGGCTCTCTGGACCCATGAAGGTGACCTTAGAGACAAGCTCTGCCTGGAGAGACAAGGTCTTAGAGGCCAAGGCCAGGCCTCTGCTGCCAGCTGGTGGTGAGTCTCAGAATCGCAGGAGGTCATCTGTGGGCCAGACACTCTGGGGAGCATGCAGTCCACCCCCTCATGAACTGGTGAGGACGGGAATCTAATCCTAAGAGGGGCTGACAAACCTGCCCGAGGTCACACAGCAGGCTCCCAGCAGAACGGAGCAGGCTGGCTTCCTCAGTGCCTCCCGACCCCCAGGTCAAGGGCGACTGTAATGGCCGCCCACGAGGGGTTCAGTCCTGCCCTTGAGGTCAGGCAAGAGGTCGAGTCCTGGCCGCTGTCGCCACTGGGGAACACGGGTGAGTGCCAGTGGAGTCCCTCGCAGACTGCTGGACAGGCGTGGTTGGCACGGGGACCGGCACACAGCAGGTGCTCAGTCGATGATTTTCCTGCTGCTGATCGGAGTGAAAACAAGGTCCCAGAAGGGGCATGTGGCTCATCCTCGCCCCAGAACTACGTGACGACACTCACGTCTCCCTCGGGTGGGATGACAGGGTGTCTGCCCGAGCTCCCCGGGCGGAGAGCTGGCTTCGGGGCGCCCTCTCCCCTCACGTGCCCGCTGTAGAGGCCCCCGCTATTCTGGCATCTCACTGTTTGCCTGGTCGTGGGCATCACCGGGCTCATTGGGAGCGCAGAGCCCCGGCCTCCAGCCCTGCACGCTCCTAGGGCTGGAGGGCCTGGCGGGGGGGGCGCCCGGAGTCCAGCCATATTTGCAAGCCTCCAGCCCTGCACGCTCCTATCGGAGGGCCTGGGGGGGGGGCGCCCGGAGTCCAGCCATATTTGCAAAGCACTGTGGGTAGGCCCCAGAGGCCACAGGTTTGGGGATGCTGGCCATCCTTTCCTTATGGTTCCTGTAGCAGGGGCAGCCACATGTCCTAGAGTGGGCGGACCCCGGCCTGTCTGGGGCATGCCATCGAGAGGAGAGCCACTAGGGGTGAAGAGGTGAGGGTGAGGGGCTGGCAGAGGCAGCAGCCAGAGGAGGCGCTGCAACCGTGCAGGTGGCCGCCCCAGGCCCGGCCCCAGGCAGACGCCAGTGAACTTGAAGCGGTGCGGGGAGCAGACGGCCTTCTGCGTTCAGAAGCCCTTCCCGCAACAGCCTGGGGCTGGGACCAGGCAGAGAGCCAGGGTCACTCAGATGGCGCCAGACACCCCCAGACCAGAGGAGCCAGTGTGTGGACCTGAGAAAGGCAGGAGCCTCCCACAGTGGGGGCTTCACTCAGCTTCCCTGCAGATCCCCAAGAGCATAACCCACGACTCCGTGAGCCCTCACCGGAGAGCCCACCCGGCCAAGGGCCGTGTCTGCAGCCTGTGACCATCAGCTCAGGCCGTAACAAACACAGACTCACACGCTAAACAACGGGGCTCTATGGCCTCACAGTCTGGAGGCTGGAGGCCCAAGATCAAGGCGTCAGCAGGGCTGATTTCTCCTGAGGCTTCTGTCCTTGGCCTGTGGATAGCCCCTCTCTGTGTCCGCACTAGGTGTCTGTGTCTTAATCTCCTCTTGCAGGGACACTCGTCAAATTGTATTAAGACTCGCCTTAGTGACTCTAAAGACCCCATCTCCAAATGCAGTTACAGTCTGAGGCACCAGGGGTTGGGGTTCAGTTTGGGGGGACACAGCTCAGCCCATTGCAAAGCCTAAGCAGGGACTGTAGTGAACACAAGACCATCAGCATCCAATGACAGCTCAGTCATGGCTATGGCCAGACTCGCCGGGACCCCAGCCCACTTTACTTCTGGGCAGTGACACTCCATGCTGAGCAAAAGCGAAGGTGTCTTCTAAGGCAGCCAGCCTGGGGGAGCTCCAGAAGACCTCAGTGGCTCTGACTTCCCAGAACATCCAGCCGCAGACCCAGTGTTGTGGCCATTTTTGCTGCCTACATAGGGTGCCCCCACATTCTTTAGGGGGCTGGATTAACTGGCGGGAGAACCTGGGAGGCTTCCGGTTGGAAGGAGGGGGCTGGGGATGTGAGGGAGTCTGGAGAGATCCTCGTAGGGGTGAGGACCCTTGTTTAGCTGGGGGCCCTACCCAGAGTAGTAAGAGATGCAAGGGGTGCATATGTGTGCACGTGCGTGTGTGCCTGTGTGTGCACATGCGTGTGTGTGCACGTGTGCGTACATGTGTGTGCGCATGCATTGTGTATGTGCATGTGTGTGTGCGTGTGTGCATGCGTGCATATGTGTGTACTGCCTTCTATTAAAATTTAACCGCCGGGCACCGTTTCACTGTGTGCTGAATGGGGATCACGTCCGGAAAGTCTCCGGTGCGTCCCCCTCCCTCGTGTCCAGTTGCTCCTGGGCAGAGGAGCAGGTGCCGCCCTGAGGCCCAGCTGCTGGCTCCACCAGGGTCCCAGGGCCTCCGCCTCCGCTCCCAGCCCGTTGCTCGGCCCGACGACACTGGCAGTGCCTGTCTGGCCACGTGTCTGCAGTTTGTCCCTCCTGGAGACCACTTTGGCCACCCACCTGGCCTGCTCCGTGGTCACTGTGCAGCTGTCGGGGCCCTGGCTGAGCCAGCTGCCCCCCGATCCCGCGGAGGCTGTGGGCCCCCGGGCCTTGTCTCTGTCCCATCTCGGGGAGTGTGGACAGGCAGCAAGGCCTCCTGCTCTTGATGGGGGCTGCTCAGACCTGGTCCCCACAAGCCCTGAGGACCCCTGTGCCTATTTCATGGAGGGGGCTGAATGAGGGGTGCCTCCCACCCGAGGAGCCAGGATGCGGTGTCGAGTGGGGGCGCACACATTCTGACCACCCTGACTGCCATCTCTCAGCGCTTAGGAACCTCTGGGGCGAGATCCTTGAAGCACAGTCCCAAGGGGCAGAGGCCCCCCAGAGGGAGGGGAGGGGCAGGGGCCATGCCTGGCACCCCGGTTCCCATGTGGGGCTGGCGAAAGGAGTCTGGCGCTTTCCCTCCCACACCCCCCACCTCCCCTCTCCTCTCTCCATCCCTCAGAGACTCCCCGAAAGTCCTCTCCTTCCTGCAAAGCCCGAGTTGAGGGAGTCACTTGGACTGGGAGTGAGGAAGTGACCTGGTCACTTAGAGACGGAACAGGAGCAGGTGGACCCGTGTCCTCCCCCTCATAGCCCACTACGCATCACATCGCCCCTTCTCCACTGCTCTCGACGCACCGGGAGACAGCACGGCCACCAGACAGCGAGTTGCTTGTGTCACCTGCTCTTTATTGGCTGCCGCGAGCTGCACTGTCATGGGTGACCAGACACCCGAGGAGCGGTACTACAGAGAGGAAGGTGGAGGGAGGGTGGCCGAGAGAAGCAGGCTGCCGAGGGCCCGGGCACGCGGAGCCTCTGCCCGCCGGACCTCAGGGCCCAGGGACATGTGGGCAGGCACGTGGCTCAGCCCTCACCCACTTCCAGGGGTCAGAGGCACCTGGTGGCCCTGGAGATCCAGAGGTGGCTCAGCAGGGTGTTCTTCTGACCTCGTGGTCAGCCAAGGCTGGCCTGCGTCCCCTGGGAGGGCAGGGCTGTGGTGTCGAGGAGCTGGGGTGGCTGTCACTCCCACCAACTGGCTGGTGTTGGGACCCAGGGGGCCCCGCAGTCGCAGCACCTGAGGCCGAGGCCCGAGGCTCTCCCGGGCACTCTCTCAACCCTCATCCCTCGCAGAAGGAGAAAAGGAAACGGAAAAGTCGGAAGCAAAGGAAGACGAACGCCCCACTTTCTAGGGCCCCCGATGGCTGGGTCGTGGGGGCAGCAGCGGGCGGCAGCCGAGGCCGAGGCCGAGCTTAGGAGGAGGGCGCAGAGCTGGGCTTCTCCTCCCGCGACACGGGGATGGCTCGCTCGCTGTGGCCGGCGTCCACGCCAGACGGGACCTTGGGGCCGGAGAAGGTCAGCATGCCGTCGGCGGACAGGGAGCAGGACAGCGCCGACTGGTCCACGTTGGAGGGCAGGCGGTAGCGGCGGTGGAACTCGCGGGAGATGTAGCCGTGGTCGTCCTGCGGGGCGGGGCGGGGGTCAGAGGCGCGTGGGAGGGGCAAAGCCAGCTCTCCCAGGGCGGGGCTGCGGGGGTGGGGGTGTCTGGCTCCTCCCGAGGCTAAGCCCCGCCCCCCGCTCCCCACACTGAGGTCCCCGCCCGCCCAGACCACTCGCTGCCAGGAGTCAGCTCTTCGGACCCGGGTCGCTCTGAAACCTCGTGGCCCCGCGACCCCGTTAAACTGCGACCCCACAGTCCTCTCTGCCCGATCGAGGGTCCCTGTGGTCCCTCCGGAGGGTGGAAAGCCACCGAGCACAGAAGGCCCGCTCGCCCTGGACAGCGCTGAACCAGGCGCAGGCCCCGTCCCCTGCTCCCGCAGGGGGAAGGGCCGAGCGGGCAGCGGGCCGGGCTGTGGGCGGGACAGTCCGCGTGGCCTCTACCGCCGATGGGCCCAGGACGGCGGGGCACAGACACCAGCCGCCCCTCCACACCCCGAGGAACCCCCTGGTCTCCGACCCGGCCCCAGGAAGCTGAGACTCTGCTGGCATCGTACCCTCAGGACCCTCCGCGTCCCTGCACGTGGGGACGTCACGCACCTGTGGCCACCCGCGGGCTCTTCCCGGCTCCGCCTGAGACCCTGCCTCCTCCAGCCGCAGCGCCCAGGCTCCCGCATGCCCCCACCCCACCTTGTCCCAGCCGCAGGACCGGCCGGCCACGGGCCCCCTCAGCTCGGCTGTGCCACCTGCCAACTCGCGAGAATGGGGGCGCTGGTCTCCAAGGGCTGCTGCGAGGTGAGGTGACCGTGCGAACACAAGCGAAGCGCTGGGCGTGTCCGTAAGTGCCACCTGCGCTGTCGTCACGGCTCCCGCTCCGAGGCTGGGTTCACGTGAGCTTGCCCCGGGCACGAGCATTTCCAGGGCTGCTTCTTAACCCGTCACACGGGAGATTTGGGGGAGCTGGGACAGCCCCTCCCTGGGCGGCTGCGTAAGCATAGGTGGGCGTGGCAACCCCGCCCGGGAGAAGCGCCTGGGTCGGGGGACCAGAGCGCCCCCTGCCGGCCGCGGCGCCCAGACGGGAGGCCGACCCACCTGCCGCTCGTTGTGCTTGCCGTGGATCTCCACGAAGTCCTCCTGCACCTTCACCGTGAGGTCCTCTGGGGAGAAGTGCTTCACGTCCAGGAAGATGACAAACTTGTCCCGGTCAGATCGGACCTGAAAGGCAAAGGCGCGTGTGGGTCTCCCAGGGCCGAAGCTCAGGGACCGAGGGAGCGCGCCCTGGTCCCCGCGGGGCTGCCCAGAGCGCCCAGTGCAGACCAGAGACTGGCCAGAGGTGTGGGTCCCGGCTCAGACCTCTCCTTCCACGCACCTGGGGACAGAATCCCAGGAACCCCTGACCCTCGAATGGGCCTGGGGGTTCAAGGCAGCGATGTCTGTTGATGCTGGTTGGAATGTGTTGACTGGCTGGTTACGGCTGAGTAACTGGTTGTAGGTTGGTTTGCTTATTAGGGGTTGGTTCGCAGGCTGGTTAGGGTTGGCTGGCTTGTTGGGGCTGGCTGGTTGGTTGGTGGGGTTGGCTGCTCAGGGCTGGCTGGTTGGTGGGGTTGCTTGGCTGGTTGGGGCGGGCTGGCTGGCTGGTCGGGGCTGGCTGGTTGGTTGGTGGGGTTAGCTGGTTGGGGCTGGCTGGCTGGTCAGGGTTGGCTGGTTGGTGGGATTGGCTGGCTGGTCAGGGTTGGCTGGCTGGTCAGGGTTGGCTGGTTGGTGGGGTTGGCTGGCTGGTCAGAGTTGGCTGGTTGGTGGGGTTGGCTGGCTGGTCAGAGTTGGCTGGCTAGCTGGGGCTGGTTGGGGCCAGTTGGGGCTGGCTGGCTGCTTGGGGCTGGTTGGGGCCAGTTGGGGCTGGCTGGCTGCTTGGGGCTGGTTGGGGCCAGTTGGGGCTGGCTGGCTGCTTGGGGCTGGTTGGGGCCAGTTGGGGCTGGCTGGCTGCTTGGGGCTGGTTGGGGCCAGTTGGGGCTGGCTGGCTGCTTGGGGCTGGTTGGGGCCAGTTGGGGCTGGCTGGCTGCTTGGGGCTGGTTGGGGCCAGTTGGGGCTGGCTGGCTGGCTCGGCTGGCTGGCGGGGGCCCTGGTTTCTCGCATCTGTCCATCAATAGCCCAGGTGCTGTCTTTTCACATCACTGGCCAGGCCGCCAGCTGTGCGGCTCACAGACCCCTTCCCTGCGTCTCTCCTGACTGCACGCGCCCAGAATATTCCCGTGGGCTCTTTTGGCCCCAAGTGGATTGGCGCCGTTTTCAGGTGGTGGGACTGTTGACCTGGGGTCAGTCTCAGCTCAAGGAGCGGGGGCTGGTGGCTCTCGTCACCTTCCCTTGGGCCTGGCCTCGGGCACCTGGGCAGACGCGGGACGAGCCTACTCTCTGCAGCTCTGCTGGCCGCGGAGGGCTTCAGGTGGGAGGCCCTCCTCTGGGGATCTCGGGCAGCAGCCCCCCCACCCAGGCTTCCTGCCAGAGGGGAAGCGGGGCAGCCGCTGGACACACAGCTCGCGTCTGCCATCAAACTTGCCTTGGTGGGGTTGCTCTTGGGGCTTCCAGGATGTGGTTGGTGCATTACAAACCACATATGGGTCATGAGCTGATGGGAGGAAAAGACAGCGTCGGGCCCAGGCGGCTCCCTCCCTGACCCCTCCCCGGAGGCTCGGGGGGCTGAGCTGTGGAGCACCCGCCGCCTCACCTCGGAGATGCCAGAGTCCAGCACGGTGCGGAAGAGGGACTGGCGGTAGTAGGGGCTGATGGTGGAGGATAGGAAGGGCAGCAGGTCGTACTCGAAGAGGCCCTCGCCGAAGAACTGGTCAAACAGCCGGCTGGGGTAGAAGGGCCCCAGCGCGCGCTTGAACCAGGGGTGCTGGATGGCGATGTCCATGCTGGCTGTCGGCACTGCAGGCACCCGGGGCTGGCGGGACTCAGGCAGGGGGCCTCTGGGCAGCACACTGGGAAGCCGGGGCGCCGGCCGCCCTATATACGCCTGAGGCAGAATGCGGGCATTAGGGGGATTTGTCTGGAACGCGTGAGCTCAGGAGGGAGGCTGCCCTGTCAGCAGAAACGTGGCCGCCGCTCCCAGCCCTGGGCACTGGCCAGCACGGAGCCCTGGACGCCAGGAGGATGGCAGTCCCCAGGAGTCTCTGCGAGGCTCAGTGCCCACTCTCGGGGGGTGGCGAAGGCTCATCGTCTGGGAGATTGAGATACGGGGGACTAGACAAGTGGCCCCAGAGGCCCCAGCGCCTGGGGTGAGGGTGCACCGCTTTTCAGAACAGAATTACCTGTTACCTCTTCCTGACAGCAAAAATTCTGCATATTTGTAGAAGTCTCGGGAAAGACAGAAAATACCAAACAATAACAAGGCCTGTTGTTCCTGCACAGGGTCCCCTGTGCCGGGGTCTGCGTGTGCGTGAACAGGCGGGCGGTGTGGCTTTACAGAGGGAGCCCACCCCCCGGCTCACCCCGGTGTCATCCCTGTGAATGTGGTCCTCCCCTGGGCACGGTGACACCATGGCCCTTAAGCCAGGTGGCCTGTCAGGCCTGTGACTCGTCCGTGCCGTCACCGTCATCCGCACGGCCTGGCTCTTGTTTGGTTCCTGTCTCCGTGGCCCCATCCAGTTACTGCTCGGGACTCATCCCCAGCGGCGGGGCCTGTCACCCACTGGCTTTCAGGCTTTCGATGTTTACCAGTTTTAAGACTTTTGATGTTTTTCAGTAGCTGGGCCTCAGGGGAGCACTATACGTACCCCACCCACAGTGTCACAGACAGATGCCATTCCATACCCTTGGAGAAAGCTGTTTAACGCACGATCCAGACAGTGAGAAGCTGGTGTTTGTCGAACGCGGGCACGCTCAGAGCAGCCAGAGAGCTTTGCCAATTCACCTCCCAGCCCTGGACCTAGCTCTGCAGGAAAGAGCAGATCTACCTGTTGTGTGAGCAGATTGTAGCTGATGCACCCAAAGTGGAATCGCTGTTTGAAGTGAGAATCTCTGAGCACCCCTAACCATCTCCCCTAACCAGCTGGGCTCCCTAGCAAACCCTTCCTCCTGCTTTTCTGAGCGCCTGCTGGGTGCCTAGCACTGGCCGGCTGGGGGAGGGGGAGGTTTAAGGGCCCTGGAAAATCTGGAAATGCCACCGTATGTGGCAAGTCGGTCCCAACACCCCCTAGTTCACAGACCGGGACAGTGGGGTTAGGAAGTTTAACCTGTGTGCTCAGACTGCCAGACTTGGAGGAGAGGAGGGGGCTTCAGCGCAGGCCTCCCGCCCAGGCTGGGGTCAACCTGGGGGCAGAGGTGTGAGCAGAACAGTGGGCGGAACTACGCAGTGCTGGCTGCCTGCTCACGGGCACGGGGAGGGACGGGAAGGGGCGGGAAGGGGCACAGGCGTCCATCTGGCTGGGTCCTTCGTGGCACAGGGCCAGCAGGACCAGCCAGGGCTGGGCGGAGCCACACCGGAGCCCGAGACAGGAGGAAAAGTCAGCAGTGTTGACTCTGTCTTTATTTAAAATTTTGATATTTTTTCAACGCGAATATTGTGCATCTACTTTGACTTTTTAAAATACCGCAGTAAGACGTGATTTATCCTGATGGCTGCATAGTTTTGCTGTCCCCTGACGTGGCACTGAGGAGAGTGCCTTGCTCTCCCCACCCTACACCTGGCCCCCATGTGGTCGCTCCAACAGGCAGGGATCGGGCTGAGGGGCCGACCCGTGGGCCAGGCGCAACCTCGTCCCGCGGGCTCCACGGCTCAGGGCGGCCATGGGTCAGCAGAGGTCCCCCCGGCCCTCACTCACACTCCTCACACGCCTTGAGTTTGGGGAACGCACGTGCCGTGGGCCGGTGGGAGCAGAGGCCTCCGTGGGGCGTGGCGGCACCCGCCACAGAGCGGGCCAGGCCCGCAGGGGTGGGCCCCCGTCGGAGCCGGCACCCAGGCGCAGCCCTGAGCAAGGGCATGGACGGAAGCAGTGCCCCAGGCACCATCCCAGCCTGGTGCCAATCCGGGTCCTGCGGCTGCTGCGACAAACCGCCTTGCCGTTTGGAGGGCAGAAATCCAAACTGGGAATCCAAACTGGGTCTCCCTGGGCTCGAATTGAGGGGCCAGCGGAGACTCCTTCAGGGGGCTTCAAGGGAGAGTGTGTCTCTGCCTTCTCCAGCTCCCAGAAGCTGCCTGCGGCCCTCGCCTTCCCTCCTCCATCTTCAGAGGCAGCGATGGTGGGTGGAGTCGTCGCCACCATCCCTCCGGCTGCCCCCTGCCGCCTCCCTCCTATAAGGACGCTGCGGGTGCGAGGCCCAGCCAGGGAGCCAGGCTGTGCTGAGCAGCCTCACTGCCCCGTCGCCATGCAAGGACAGTGGCAGGCGTGGGAGGCCACTCTCATTCCGGCCGCAGGGAGGGAAGCGTGTGATGGGGTGTGCCGTCCCGCGGGACCCCCGGCTTACAGAAAGGCTAGCCAGTAGCGGTCAGTGCCAACTCGCACTACCCAAACCCATGACCTCTTTCGAGTCAACGTACATCTCGGTCAGTCGTTTGAGGCCATCTGATTTTACCTCCAGGTTCGCTGACCTCTCCTGCAAGGCCAGACCTGTGGGTCCCTTGGCCCCAGAGTTTGCTGCATGAAAAATGTCTTCATTCATCGACTGATATCGGTTGATACGCAAAGCTTTAAGCAAGGTCCCTGCTTTTGTGGGCTGACATCCTGGTGGGTTGAGACCAACAGCAAACGAAGAGCAAGTTAACACACATCATAGCAGATGGCAAGGAGCGCTTTGCAGAAAAGGGACGGGGCGCGATGGGGGACAGCGTGCTGGTTCCGACCCGCATGTGTGAATCCACTCTCACCTCGAACCCCGGCCTCCGCACGGCCCAGCCACTCACCACCCCGGATCCTGAGAAAACAAGACCCTTTGGCCTTGGGCCTGGGTTCCTCCCCGAAGTCACGTCGAAGACGCCACTTCGA